GGGTGGGGGGTGGGGGGGGGGTGAGAATGCACTCAACATACCACAATATTACAAGATGCAGCTGCAATAGCATATATTCTGTATAAGATGACATGAATCCCACACAAAAACTGACACAGCTTGCAACTCATACAGCCCTCATTGCTTAAATCTGCATAGAGTGACAGGTGTGCTTTGTATTAAGCGAGTAGAAAACACCGGCAAAGAAATAAGGTAGCAGAGCGACAGAGGTCAGATGAGATGTTGTTCTGATTTCCTCTTTTCTTTGGTCCTGCAATCAGTCATAATGGCAGGATGCATGCAAAAGCAATGATAAGGTGTGAAAAAAGAGCCATCATTAGAGGAGCACAGGCAGGCGAAGGAAGCCTAAAAGCCAGTGAATGTCTCTCCTTTTTAAAATGCAATCATAGTCGTTTGATGTGACGTGTATTTGCATGTTGCATTGTTGTGCATCGTGTTTTTCTGGGTGATTATCATTTTTTAACACATATTCTAATGTGGCATTTTTCTCTGAAATTCTTGGCAGAGCAATCAGTTTTACTTGAAGCTACATACTAAACTGCCACAATGTCTGTTCCATTTCCAATAGTTCAATCATCAGGACAGCCATAGGTGTCAATTAATGAGCCCCTCACTAAGTAAAATATGAATGCAGCCTATGGGAGGGAGATGAATGCCAATTATGCACGTTTCTTGGTGTCATCTGAAGAAAGAGCATGCCTGGAGAAGTGGAAAAAAAGAAATAGAAAAGGAGAGCTATAAAAGAAACATTTATTAATGGCATCCTGGTGGGAGTGGATTGCTGCAATTCCATCTTTTGATGATGCCCTTCAGGCAACATCTTTTTTTGCTGAAATGCAATCAACAATACATAACATGGAATCCCATTCTTTTGATAATAATCTACAATTGGTGAGAGATGTACTTATAAAATTGCATACACAGATAAATCAAGGCTGACATAGCATCTGACTGGCATTCTCCAGAGGTCACCACCGCTCCTTTATCTGTCCTTTGATCACACAGCAACACAAAAACATCTAACGTCCATTCTGACTGGATTGGCTGTAAATCACCAATACCCTCTGGTCGCTTCTTAATTCCAAATATTGAGGACTTAAGGAATTGCTCTGAACTTTGGCTTCTTTCAGGGAGGCCTTGGGATCATTCGGTATGCAAAGTTATCATCACTGGCTACAAGGAAATTAACACACATTTCGATTTGTCTGTCCTTCTCTGAGAACATCTCCGGTATTTAGATTGATATGTAAATTAGTATTAAACTGATGTTAACATCTTCAGAGAGTGACTGGGACTTTACAATATTGCTGAAATGCTACTGAAAGGTCAGCGCTGTTCAAACACTTCTATGTCAACAAGGCAGATGCAAGGAGCTGTGGATGCTTCTCTCCTGCTTCAAGGAACCAGAAGAGAAGCATCCACAGCTACACACTCCTTGCATCTGCCTTGTTGACATAGCAGTGTGTGTAACACTCACTGTGGGGGACAGACACACTGATAGTCCATGAGCCATATCAAGACCATATCCCCACATCAGCTTTTCATGTACTTAAATTAAAACTAACACTTTTTTTTAACCATTCACACATACGTTCTGTGAATAGGCTTAAATTAGAATATGAGATGGTACCTTTCCTCTTCTGCTTCAAGGAAGCAGAAGAGGAAAGATGCAGACTGCAGAAAAGACCAAAGCCATCAAATAAACCTTGATAGACAGTAATCACTTAGGCTACCATGAAGAAAGCTTTTAGCCAGTATATTCTTAAGAACAAAAACA